AAGCCTGGGAAGGCAGGGACAACAGCTAGACGCCCAGAAAACAGCCGCATTAAAAGCTTCTGAGCTGGCAGGACTGAAGGACAATGGGAGGGGGTGATATGAGGGAGGCCGGATTGCTGGCAGAGCTGGAACCAGGATGAGACTGCCTGGGGGGCTGGGGGTGCAGGGCGCAGGGACTTAGAGGGGCACAGCCAACGCCAGCCGCTTGTAAGCAGAGAGCAGGCACACCTCCAGTGCCCGTCCCTCATTGGCTGGACTCCAGTTGTCAAGGGAACTTCAGACATCAGAGTGAAGGACAAGTGGGGACACATGTGAGAGGACAGGAGCAGGCAGCCCACTTGGCGGTGGCCCCTGGCTGCCCCCGGGCCCTGCCCCCCTCACCGCCCACCGGCTCTGCAAGGCTGGCCCTTTGGCCTCCCGGGCCCCGGGTCGCCCTGCCTTGGAGCTGCTCTGACCCGTGCTGACACACTCTGACATTCTCTGACACGCTCTGACCCGTGCTGACACACTCTGACCCGTGCTGACACGCTCTGACCCATGCTGATGTGCTCTGACATGCTCTGGCATGCTATGACCCATGCTGACACACTCTGACACGTTCTGACATGCTCTGACCCGTGCTGACATGCTCTGACACGCTCTGACACAATCCATCCTTCAGCCCCTGGACAGCAGGAGCACGTGGCTCCGGGCAGCCTGGGGTTGGTGACAGTCCCTGGGCTTAACCAGCTCTAGGTCTGCCAGCAGCCCAGCTGGCCTTCCTGTGCATCAGGCCAGCTGCAGGTGCCTCCCATGTCCCGGCGACAGAAATGCACCGACAGCCCGGGACAGGCACAGCCTAGGTTCTTGGCTGCTGGGGGGTGGGGGTGGGGGGCGGCTGGCGCCCACCGGCCCTCAGGGAGTGCAGAGACTTGGCTCCTATGTCCTTAAAAAGACATCGGGGATTTGCCTTCCTCCAGCTACAATCACCCCAGTAAAGGAGTCGTGGGGGGCCGAGGACTGAGCCATGTCACCCCTTGTTACTCAGATGAGAAACTGGGATGTTTTTGCCACCTCGCCTCAGCCATGCAGCATGGGTATCAGCCTGGGGC